CCCACCCACTGCTTACTAGCCTGCATGGTTTCTTTCTTTCTCTCTTTCTTCGTTTTTTTTTTTAAGATTTTATTTATTTGAGAGAGAGAGCATGAGTGGGGAGCGGGGGAGGGGGGGACACAGGCAGAGGGAGAAGCAGGCTCCCCGCTGAGCAGGGAGCCCGATGCGGGGCTCGATCCCAGGACCCTGGGACCATGACCTGAGCCGAAGGCAGACGCTTAACGACTGAGCCACCCAGGCGCCCCCATCATTTGTCCTATCTTTGGATTTTCTGATTCTTTCTTCTAGCTGCTGTGATTTGCTTTTGGACCCTCTAGTAGATTTTCTGCTTCAGTTTTTTTTCCCCAGTTACTTTTAAATTCCAGAATTTGTATTTGTTTTTTTTTTTAAAAAGTAATGTTTATCTGTTTATTGATATTCTTCATGAGATATTATTCTCATGCTTTCTTTTAGTTATTTGCACATGGTTTCTTTAGCTTTATGAGTATATTTACAATAGCTGACTTACAGACTTTCTACTAAGCCCATGTCTAGACTTCCTTGGGGACAGGTTTTATTGTTTGCTTTTGTTCGTGTATATGGACTATCTTGTTTTAGTGAGTCCTATAATTTTTTGTTGAAAATTACAGACATTTTAAATAACAATATGGCAACTCTGGAACTCAGATTCTCCCTTTTTCTCATGGTTTGTTGCTGTTGGTACTTGGTGTAGTTGTTCTTGTTTGTTGGATGACTTTTCTGAGCTAATTTTCTAAAGTCTGTATTCTTTATTGTGGTGGCCAGTGAAGTCTCTACTTGGTGAACTTAGTGATCAGCAAATGATTGGACAGACTTTCTTAAACACCTAGGACCAGTGAATTTCTTTCTCAGGGAACTCCATGTATGTATTAGGACCTGCCTTTAACACTTAGCCTAGCAGTTGAAAGTTCTGCCTTAGCCTCCACTTGCTCATGCAGAGTCTCAAAGTTGACCAGTGGTGAGAGGTTAGGGCCTCACCAAAGGGTTTTTTTCTTAGCTTGCACATTCATGTGTCCCAAGTTTTCAAAACCTCCACGGACATTATATTCCACAACTTTTCCTTTTGTTTGCCTCAGCTGTTATCCACTGTTTCAGTCAGCTGTGAAGTTAAAATACTCGCCTCTGATTGTTTTCAACAAACACTCCCTGGGGAAAGGGCTTTTCCGAGTCCATTTAAAAACAGCCTAACAAGTGGGGTCTTCTGGGGAACCAAACCACGGGTCAAGTAATCTGAGTTCTTGGGAATGAAGTTTTGGAGGAGCTCCAGCTCCTCTGTGCTCCCCCTGATGGCTGCCCAGCTGTGCTGGGGATGTGGGTTACCAAGGGGCTAGAGAGTGAGAATGGGCCTAGGGTCAGCTAAAATGTCATAAAGCTTGTTTTTCTTGAATCAATGCTCTCTGGGTTCCTGCAAACCTTTGATTAGTTCCCAAAGTTCAGAAAACGTACATATTGACAATTTTTGCCAATGTTCTTGTTGCTTTTTGAAAGAGAGCTTTTTTGGAGGTGTTACTCTATAATTTTCACTTTTGGATTAGGAATTTCTTGTGTAGCTTTTTGTTTTCCTGGTGTGTCTTTTTAACTTGTAAAAAATAGTATCTTTTCATCATAATGTCCTAATCACCTAGACGCACTAGTACAGCATATTGTCTAGAAATCGCTCTTCCTGAAGCCCTCTCACCTCTGATTCCAACCTGGACCAATTATGTTTCAGTTCTGCTGTATAGTTTCCATCCTGGAGCTTCCTCTCACTGTACTTCTAGATTGATTAAATTCAGTGTTTTGGATCCCTTTTGGATCTTCCTCCCCACCCCCCTCAGTTTTATTAAGGTATAATTGACACATGACACTCTATTAGCTTCGGGGGTATAACATAAGGCTCTGATACCTGTATTGTACAATGGTCACCAAGGTCGGATTAGTTACACTTGTTGCCATACGTAGTTAAGGTTTCGTGTCTGTGTGTGTGATGAGTGTTGGAGTTCTCGCTTAGCAGCTTCTTCATGCCCGGTACCGTGTTGTGAGCTGCGGTCACCGTGCTGTGGAGGAGGTCCAGGCCCCACTGACCTTCCTGTTGGACGTTTATGCCTTTGACCCCGTTCCCCCAGGATCTTCCTCTGGTTTGGTTTTTTCCCTCATTTTGCTGGGCTATAGCCTCAAGGAACTTTCTCAAGGTATGTTGTAAATAAGGGATTCTTGAATGTCTTAAAATGTAGTTATTTTAAACTTTCCCTTATTTCATGGTTTGGGTGTGTATGGAAAAAGTTCTCCCCTTAGAAAATTGAAGACATTGCTTCCCTCTCGTCTTAATGTCCAGGGTTAACTGTTTCTAGAGATCTTCTGTTCAGGTTCTTTGTGAGTAAACTTTTATCCCTGGTCTTTGGAATTTTTAGGGCCTTATTTTGAATTCTCGGTGTTAGGAGTCCACGAGTTTGTGTGTGTTGTGTTTTACTCCTTCTGCACAGCCCTCGGTGGGGTTTTGTCCGAAGGCGTGTTTTCCTCGACCCCAGAGCATTGTCTTGTTGCTGCACGGTTTCCGGCACGCTGCCCCACCGCCTGGATGGGTCTTTGTCTCTGCCTTGATGTTTTTTGACTTTGTTTTCCATTTTTTCTGTTGCAGATTCTATTTTAGCTTCTGTGTGTTTAATTCTAAGTGGTGTATGTGTGTGATAGTTCTATTTTCATATTTCATTTTGGTTCCATAGTCACACCTCTCACGCCTCTCTGAGGATATATACTGGAAATATTTTAGAATTTCCTTTTTTCCTATTTGCTCTGTAGTCTTTGTTTTTTCATGCTGTTGCTTTAAGGGTGCCTTTCTTAATTCCCTGGTAGTTTTTTTAATTAAAAAACGTATTTTTCCCATTCTTTTGAGTAGGGGATGGTGTTGATGGTGTTCTCCATTATGTGGCTGAGGTCTGGTCAAAGCCGAGGGGCCGACCGCCCCCACCGCCCCTCAGACTGCTGCTCCGTGCCTCGTGTCTCGAGCTCTGCCCCCGTCGGTCTGTACCGCAGCGGGGTCCCTTCCCCTCCGGTGGGGCTTCCGCAGCTGTCCCAGGGCTGGCTCTGAGCGGCTCTGCTCCCGTCCTCCCTGCCTGCCGACTGCCAGCCGGAAGCCCCATGCCCGGACGAGCAGGCCACTCGCTCGCCCCTGCTCCATGCTGTCTGTCTCCACACTCTTCTCCTTTGTCTCCGCGTTTCCTCCTCCTCCTCCCTCCCTTTTGCATTGTCTGGGGTTTTTCTCTTTGTGCTTTGTTCCTGTCGTTTCTGTGGGTCACAGAGGCTGCGACACGATCACCCTTCCCTAAGTGACATCTCGAACTGGAAGCCTCTTCTATCTGGGTCCCCTTCGGTGCTTTGGCTCATCCCCTGTTGTGCAGGCCTCGCAGTGTGAGAAGCTTGCCCAAATTTGGAAATTATCGTGTTATGTAAAGTTGGCTGGGAGGATTTTATTAAAGTGAGCTTGCTCCTGTGGCGCCTCCACTCCACCGCACATCCAAGTTCATGGTCAGGGACATCGTCTGGGAGTATGCCAGGCTGCTGACGATTTGGCCTTTGGATGCCGAGTAAACCCGGGTCGTGTCCGTGTCTTTGTAGAGCCGGCCGAGTGAACCGGACACCCCCAGAGGTTGGGTGTGGGCATGTGTGGGCCGTGGGCCCCTCTGTCTGTGGCAGTGCTTTTGTCCCCTTCCCCCGGGGGCTTCCCCCACTCCCGGCACAGTTCAGGAATTCTTCCTCTCTTGCCCGAGAGCTGCCTGATGGTGGGGACTCTGGAACAGCACCCCTTCCGCTGTCCATCTTTTTTTTTTTCTTTTTAAGATTTTATTTATTTATGTGACAGAGAGAGAGATAGCGAGGGCAGGAACACAAGCAGGGGGAGTGGGAGAGGGAGAAGCAGGTTTCCCGTGGAGCAGGGAGCCCGATGCGGGGCTCGATCCCAGGACCCTGGATCATGACCAGAGCCGAAGGCAGACGCCGAACGACTGAGCCCCCCGGGCGCCCCCCACTGTCCATCTTTTACTCGAGGGTTTTTACAGTACAATTAGGTTACAGGAGCCAAGCTCGAATAATCTGTGACTTTGAGAATTTCTGTTCGATGCTTTATGAGCGTTTAATGAGCACTTACCAAGCCATGTGGGGGGGTCGTCTCCAAACAAAAGCAGATGGAACCCCACCCTTAGGCCTGAGTTCTCCCCTCCAGTGTCTTTTCATTTAATGCACGCATTATGCAGATGCTGTCATAAAAAGATTTTGCAGTTTAGACACACATTTTAGAGTTTAAAAAGAATTGAAATGGAATAAAAACAGGAGTTCTGTGTGCTTCCCTCTTCCGGTTACTGATCTGATGAACCTCCAGGGGTTCACGAGCTTTGGATGCTGCAGGCCAGGGTCCCAGCAGGTCCCGGTGTGGTTGTGGAGACAGCTGGTGGGGAGAGGGGAGAGACTGTCCAGGACAAGTGTCCCCAAGGAGAGAATGGTGGGCTGAGAGGCTGGGTTTCTTGAGAACAGGGGAGCCGGCCTCACTGTCCCTGGGGAAGGCACAGCGGCTTGCGGACGGAGGCAGAGTGGGCGTGCGGGGGCTCAGCCCTCCTGGGCATCCTCCAGAGCTGTGCTGCTGATGAGGCCCAACAGTGAGATGGGGGTGGGAGGCACAACCCCACCTGCGCCGGCCATGCTTGCCTTCAGCCATGGCCATCAGTCTCCCCTGATGGAGAAGGGATTTCCGTGGAAAACCAGTAGTTTTCCCTGCGTCATCATTACGCACGTTGAAACGGGACTTCCACTACGTTTACTTGAAGGAGATGGCGGTGCACGGGCTGCTTCCAGTGTCACTGGGTCGGTAGGATTCTCTTCGTCCAGAGTGCCTGTGGACCCCTAGGATGGCCTTGCATCTTGCTCTGCCGTGGTCTGCGGCCAGGTCCTGCTTGGGAGCGTGCTAGGCGCCACCTTCCAGCACAGAGTGACTCCCTTCTGCTCGGTTCCAGGTCTCGGTGGCCCTGAGCAGCAGCTCCATCCGGGTGGCTGTGCTGGAGGAGGGTGGGGAGCACGTCCTCATGGAAGGGAAGTTCACCCACAAGGTCAACACGGAGAGCTCTCTCTGGAGCCTGGAGCCGGGCAAGTGCGTCCTGGTGAGTGTGGGCGTCGGTGCTTGAGCTCCGGGAGGGGGGTCACACCCTCTGTGGGGCTTTTCCTCGGGCCGTGGGGGTGTGGATTCCTGCTGTCTGGGGCACAGCTCAGGGGGCACCTTTGCTGGCCTCGGCCCCTTGGGGTCCCCCCAGTTGGTTCTCTGAAGCAGAGCATGAACTCTTGGTCCTCCGTCCTTGTGCCCACGTGGTGACCGCACGCGGAGAACGCACCGCAGAGGAGCTCCTGCGGGGTCATCCCCAGAGCATGGCTGTGCTTGCCAGCGACCTGGTTACAACTGAGGCAGAACCAAATAAGTGACAAATTGGAAGGCAGGTTGAATTTCACAGATGTCCTACTGGAGGATGCAGAGTTAACAGATCCAAACAGACCGGCTTATTTGACAAAGGAGATCTCAGCTGGCTGAGCTCCTTGGGGCTGCAGAAGCCAAGCCACTTGCTCTGGCGCTCCCGTTCCTGGCGTCCTCAGTGGCTCCTTCCCCCTCCTCGGGGCCCTCGCACCCGGTCTGGCGGGGGGTGCCCAACCAGGGTCTGGTGAGAGGGTGCAGTCAACAGGAACAGACCAGGTCTGTGGACAGAACTCAGGATTTTACACAGACCCATTCTTCACATGTGCCCGGAAGGAAGGAGGAAAAATGTTTGTTCCAGTTTCATGTTCGCGGGATGGGCACCAGTGGGCCAGCCTGTGTGCGCTGACCGGAGGGCTTGGCTTGAGGGGGGTCTGTCGTGTGGGGCTGCTGGGGCGCACTCACGGGGCCCTCTGTGTGATGGGGGCACCGGGTCGTGGGGCACAGGCCAAGCCCACCCAGCTCTTGTTTTCAACCTTGCTTTGCACCTCCCTGCTCTTCCGAGGTTCCTGCTCCTCCCCGTGGGATTGTGACAGTTGTCATCCTGGGGCTCGGCCCCTCTTCCCATCACGCTGTGCCTCCCTGTCCCCCAGTGCACCCGAGCCATTCCCCACCCTCCGGCCCCATTGCAGAATGCCTTCCTGGTCCTGGCCTTACTGGTGCTTCACGGGGCTGTGGGAGGTAAAGTCAGGGTCTCCTCACCACCACCACCCCCAGCCTCCCAGCAGCTCATCCTGTGCCGGTGGAGCTGTGAGAGCCTGCGGACAGCGTGGGGGGGTGGCCCTCGAGCAGCGCCCCAGCGGGAGTCCCACCCGGGAAGCACGCAGTCTGCCTGATGCCCCCGCCGGGATGTGTGCGCCCGCGTCCCTGCGTGGACGGGTCGGCCGAGGGCTCGCTGGTGCTCTGAGGGCTCCCAGCCGCTGCCCTGGCGTCCGTCAGGGTTATCGCCCGCGTACTTTACGTGTCCGCTGTGGAAACGTGATCCCTGAGCTCGTCTTGTGGGGGCTTCAGTTGGTAGCCGTGACTGACATCCTCACGGCCACGTTGCCTTTTTGTGTGTTCTGTGTGCGAGTGCTTGAACACGGCTGTGGCTCGTGGCAGACTGTTAACTCCTTGTCATAGGCTGCCATTTCTGAGCACGCTCGGGGCCCCTTTAACTCTCCAAAGCTCGTCCATGGGACGTGACTCGCCCGAGGCGGAGCCCCACGCCTGCCCCAGAGCCCGCCGGCTCCCTGCCTCTCCGCCTCCCAGCTGTGGGGTGCCCTGGAGGGGGGTGGGGGGAGCACGTGCGCAGCCCGTGGAAGGCCTTTCCTCCCGTCCGCCCGCACCGTGCCCGCTGCCATTGACTTTCCTAGTTTGCCTTTGCCACTTACCTGCCGCTCGGTGAGTTCGGCTGTGCAGAGCTGGCTGCGGGCGGAAGTGCACTTGGTGCTGCCCGTGAACATGGCTTCTGGGAGTTTTCCCGCTGACCCCCTGCCAGCCAGGTCTGTTCGGGAGCCCTTGGGTCCGCGGGTGCCGGACGAGTACTGCCCGCAGTGCTCGGGGCAGCTTGACCGTCAGCAGCTGGTGCTGTGTGGGGAAGGCCCTCGCACGCCCTCCCCCGAGCTCACCTGTTGGCACAGCCGGCGTGCCCTGCCCATGGGGTGTGGGGCTTCCCCCTGCCTCCCTTCCCGACTACGGGCCATGTTCTGGGCGTCGCGGTTCATGTGACGTTTGGGGTCATGTATCTGAGATGATACTGCAGCCGAGTGAGCGCATTGCCGTGACACATGAAGACCCTTGTCGCCTTTGCTGCTGGGGGCACACACCACGTCCCTCAGGCCTCCGCTCCGCTCGGCACTGCCTGGCTCGGGTAGTCCCATCGGCTGCACGGGAACTGCATTTCTGACCCTTAGGGTGAGGCTGAAAGCCTTGGCTGGTCCAGCCCCAGACGTCTGTAGGTTGCTGACGGTTCAGGGCCAGGCCCTGTGCTGGGCACCAGGGCGACTGAGGAACATGGTCAAGGGCGCATGTCCCAAGGGCTGCAGAGGGCCAGAAAGGGCTCCAGTGTCCTCGCCAGAGCCTGGAACCTGCGAATGGGACCTTACGAGAGAGCGAGAGGGAGGCTGGAGACAGAGGAGGACACACAGGCCCGAGGAGTGACGTGAAGACAGGCAGACGCTGGGGAGACAACAGCCACAGCCCGTCCCCGGAGACCTCCGGAGGGAGCCCAGCCCTGCGGCACCTGTCGGCCTCCAGACGGAGAGAATCAAGGCCCCTGGCTGCCCCGGGGCATCAGTACAGGCCCTGAGGGGCGAGACTGCTCTGAGGGCTTCATGGACCATGAGGGGCGACCCCACAGCTGCCTGTCACCTCCCCAGAGTCCTTGGTCCGCGCCTGACCTCCCAGCGGGTGATGCCACTGGCTTCCCAGCCCCCGTCGTCCCCTGAGGGCGTGCACATCAGACGCGCCCAGCAGGCGTTCAGAGCGGGCAGGGGTGGCAGCTAAAACCGGATGACAGCTCTTACCTCCCTCCCTCCCACACTCGAGAGTGTTAAACGAGGCTCCTTGTCTCTCAGGCAGTCTCCTTTCTTGGCTAAGAGACGGGTAGTCAGCGCCTCCCCCATGCCATGCTGTCCCAGAGGTGCACCAGCGCCCTGTCCTTGTCCGTCCCCCCCCCCCCCCCCGGTGCTGACGGCCCCCTCTGCCAGGGCGAGGTGTTCCTGGGCTGGTCCCTGCCCAGCTTAGCGCTCCCCTGAGTGTGCGCGTGCGGGCTGTGCCCCCGCATCCTCTCCTGGAGTTCAGTTCTCAGCAGCCGGGAGTTGCAGGCTCACCGTAGTCCTTGGCCATCTGCCAGGGGACACTGTCCTGTGCCGTGTGTGTGTGCGGCCAGGTCCTCGTGTGGCTCTTCGCTGCCCTGCCCGCGCTCCTTCCTCTGTCCCTCTCCGTGTCCTGATGAGGATGTGTGTTTCCCGTGGAGTCACAGCGCATCCTCCGTCCCAGCTGCGGGCTCTGTAACCTCAGCGTTCTGGCAAGCGCCGGAAGCCTGGAAGCCAGTCCGTGGAATGGCCTTTGGCACTCTCATCTCCCAGGACCCTGGGCGTTTCTCGGGACGGTCAGCACTGTGGCGCTGTCCCTGGGCAGTCCCTGAGTCCCAGCAGGAAGGAGTTGCAGCTTTGGGGGGCGGGCGGCAGGAAGGTGCCGGGCACAACCAGTGGACTATGCTCCCAGGGGACGCAGGGTCGTCCCTCCGTCCTGGGGCGAGGCGAGCGCAGACAGCGTTCCCCACCGGCACAGCCACGCCCCGGCCCTGTTCTGTCCGGCCCATACAGTGCTCTGACCTCTGAGCTTAAAAAGCTCGTTGACGGCACAAAACACCAGGCGCTTACCCGTCGTCCTGCTGCGCCTGGCTGGCTCCGGGGTCGGTGGTTGGATGCAGACCCACGTCCTTCCGGAGGTGCCTGCAGGGAGCAGGTCCCACCATCTGCCCTCGTGGCCAGCACCGTCCTCAGCTCTCACGGTGTCCCCCTTGTCAGGCACAAGGCCACCCTGCTTGGACGTGGTTCTGCCAGGCAGGGGGGAGGGGGGCAGAGGCTGCTGAGTCATCGCACAGGTTGTGCGGGTGCTGAGCTCACTCACGCGGGGTTGGAAGTTTCTGTGAGGACGCTTCGGGAAACTGATTTGAGTTCTGGGATCACATCGATGTGAGGGGCCTGGAGGGAGGCCAGGTAAGGTGGGCGGTGAGTTAGGATACTCTCAACACCTGCGTAATGAGGGATGGGAGTGAGCGGGAGCCACCAAGATGCTGGGCACCCGGGAGTGGGTGCTGACGGCGGTTAAATGGCCACCGTGGGGGAGGAGGGCCCTGCCGCCATTGTGGGGAAACGGGCTCAGGGAGGAAGCCGGTGGATGTGGTGGAGTGACACCCTGGACGGGGCACGGCGTCACCTGTGCAGTACGTTCTTGGGGGCGCCTTCCTGAGCTTAATCAGGAGGAAACAAGACGAACCCCAAATGAAGAACGGTCTTTAAATACGAGGCCATGGAATGTTCCAGATGAGCGGGGACAGGACCACTAAGGTGCATTTGGGACCCCAGCCTGGATCCTGTGCAGGAGGGAAAGTTCTGCGAAAGAAAAGAGCATCTCTGTCCCCAGGAAGGAGGCACGCGTTGAGATATCGGGGTGGTTCCGGGCAAGATTGTGTAACTTACTGTGAGTTATGCATGTCATCAAACGCACGTGCCATGACGGAGCAGGGGTAGCATGTCAGTGGGGGAGCCCAGGACAAACACGCACGGGTATGTTTGAAATTATTCCAAGTAAAATGTTTAGAAAAACATGATGGTAAACGAGCACACGGAAGGATGGCGATGTCTTTGGTCACGGAACCACGAACCAGAGCCACAGCAATAACGCCACCTCCTCCCACCTGCTGGGCGGTGTGGACGTACCATGGGGACAGCACACTGAGTGCAAGAAGTGGGGGCTCAGAAGGACACCTAGTGTGCGCAGTGGGGAGCCGGGAAGCATAACGACACTGTGGGGAGGGGCTGGTGGTGGGCACGGGGCTCCTTTGGGGTGAGGACAGTGCTCTGAACCAGATAGTGGTGGTGGTTGCCCAACACTGAATGTGCTAAATACACTGAATTGTTCACTTTAGAATGATCGACTGTGTTACGTGAGTTTTCCCTCAAAACAGTGTTTCTATTTTATTTATTTTTAAAGATTTTATTTATTTATTTGACAGAGACACAGCGAGAGAGGGAACACAAGCAGGGGGAGTGGGAGAGGGAGAAGCAGGTTTCCCGTCGAGCAGGGAGCCCGATGCGGGGCTCCATCCAAAGGACCCTGGGACCATGACCTGAGCCGAAGGCAGACGCTTAATGACTGAGCCATCCAGGCGCCTTTCAAAACACAGTGTTTTTATTTATTTTTTATTTTTTTTAAAGATTCTATTTATTTATTTGAGAGAGAGAATGAGAGAGTGAGAGAGCGCATGAGAGGGGGGAGGGTCAGAGGGAGAAGCAGACTCCCCGCTGAGCAGGGAGCCCGATGCGGGACTCGATCCCAGGACTCCAGGACCATGACCTGAGCCGAAGGCAGTCGCCCAACCAACTGAGCCACCCAGGCGCCCCAAAACACAGTGTTTTTAAAAGTGATGCTCAGCTCATCTTGATTTTTGTTGGGTTTGCGAAGGGCTCATGTGGGTAGCAAGGCCCAGTAGCTCCTTGTCTGCAGCGTCAGCCCGTCCTGCCCAGAAGCCTTGTGTGTGGTTGGCGGTTCATGTGGAGGGGCGGGTGGGAGAGCCCCTGGTGGTGCAGGGCTGACCCCTGCTGTGCCCTTGGGGGAGGGGCGCTGATGGGCCCAGAGTGGCTCTGCCCTTGGCCCTGCGGTCCGCTGACTCCTGGGTGTGTGCAGAGCTCCTCTGTGATGAGCAGGGCCTACAGGTGGGAAGGGCCTGAGGGTCTCTGTCCGCAGAGACAGAGAGGCCTGTGCGTGCCTCGGAGCGCTCTCCAGGAGTAACGGGGATATAGCAAGACCGGGAACACCCTCCGCCTCGGAAGGTGCTTGTTGTGTTGGAGCACAGATCCGCACATCGGCGGGGGTGGGGCGCACTCTCGACATTGGGGGCTCAGAGGGCCAGGTCAGGGCCCCGCACACAAACTGGGGAGCAAAGTCCGTGAGAAGCAGCTGCCCGGAGCATCTGGAAACCAGATCTGCCCCAAACATCAGCCATGGCGTTGGCAGGGAGAAGTCTTCATCTCCGAGCCTGCGGTCTTGGCGGCCCGGTCTTCACGCCCCACACCCGCCGGGACAGTCGGCTGCGGGGAGGCTGATTTCTGTCCTGCAGATGTTGGCGCCATGCTGTCACCCGGACATCCTCTCACCGTGCGGCCTGCCCCGGGTCCCACACCCCGAGTCGTCCTCCGGGACCGGGCTGGAGCCCTGCTGTGGTGGCCGGGTCCAGATCCCTGGTGGGGGGCTCAGGCACGTCTGGTCCTCACAGCCGTCACTGGTGGGGGCCAGTTCCGGGTCTGTGGAGTCATGATTACGCTCTGGCCAGGAGCCCTCTGCTCGGGGGGCTGCTCTGAGTGAGAGCTGCTCCCGCTGCAGGCCTGTCCTGTCTGCCCTGCCTCCTGGCCTTCGGGGTGTGACTGGGGCTTTTGTGCCTTTGGAGACTAAGTGGACAGTGTGAGGGACTGTGGACCGCCCACCAGTCCGTTCTCAGCCCCCCGAGGAGCTCCGCCACCAGCCCACAGGGAGGCGTGCCGTCTGGGCCCCGCCTCCCCCATGCGCTGCCCTGACCCCGGGCGGGGCGTGCTGGAGGCAAGGGACGTCCTTGGGTGTGTGATAGGCAAGCTGGGGAGGGGCGGGCAGAAGCCTGTGGACAGAGGCTCCTCTCCCCGGTGGTGCAGGGAGGCTGCAGTGGGGGCTGGGCTGGGGTCCTGGCTGCTGAGCGGGTGTGGGGCGCTCACACATGTGGGTCCTTGGCCTCCGAAAGAACGTGGGGTTGGGGGGGACGAGGGCTGCCCCCACACGGAATGCTGTCTGCCCGTGTGTCCCAGGTGAGCCTGAACAAGGTGGGCGAGTACTGGTGGAGCGCCGTCCTGGAGGGCGAGGAGCACATTGACATCGACAAGATCAACAAGGAGCGCTCCATGGCCACAGTGGACGAGGAGGAGCATGCCGTGCTGGACAGGCTCACCTTTGACTACCACCAGAAGCTGCAGGGCAAGCCGCAGAGCCACGAGCTGGTGAGGAGGCGTGCTGGGTGGGGGCGGTGGGGGACGCTGCGGGCAGGGGGAGTCTGCAGCGGGGTCCTCGCAGGTGGCTCTGGCCTGGTCGCCTGTCACCCTCTGGGGTGGGGCACTGGTTCTGCCCCTGTTCGGAGCCCAGGTGGCAGGGCTGTGATGTGCAGCTGGTCCACACAGACGTGGGACGTCGCACGTGATCGGGGCTCTCCGGGGCTGTGTATGTGTGGGGACGGTGCCCAGACAGCCCCTCCCCCAAACCTCCGAGGATCCTCGGCAGAGTTGTGGGGAGCCAGGCCCAGCCCTGCTGCAGGGCCCATGGGAAGAAAGAATTCTTCCAAATCACCTGGGAACATCAGAGGCCAGAGAAGTCCGGGTGGCCAGCGGGGAGGGGACATTAGGGATCCGCACGGGCAGAGGTCCGCACCGCGCAGCACGTGCTGGGGGAAGGAACGCAGATTTGCCGGGCGTGTTCATTCTTCTTTGTGCTCAGTGCTCCCAAGAGTGTCTGTTGAGGGGAAGAAGGGTCAGTTTTATCAGGTTAATTTTGGTTCCCGGGTGTGGTGGGCACCGGCCAAGTCAAGTCTTGCAGGGGAGGGGGTCTTCTTTGTTCCACGTGTGTCGACACGGGAGCCCCCCCCCCCCGATGCTATTCGGGGTTCCGAGGTGTTCTCATTGGTCTTCCCTCCTGCTGCCCTTTCCTCAGGCCCCATGCAGACGGCCTTGCTCCTGCGAGGGTCACTCAGGGAGCGCTGACCGCCTGCCAGTTGGGCAGGGCTGCCTGGGTCATGAGAGGAGCATCGGGTGCTGGTGCCAGCTCATGGTCAAGGTGGCTCGGGCCTGAATCCCGAGTTGGTCCCTGCCTCTGTCCTCCTGCCCCGAGTCTCCAAACCTTCCCTCGGTTGGGCTCCCTGACACCTGGGCCTATAGGGCTCGGGGGGCCGAGGTGGCCTGTGTCTCTGGCTGGCGCAGCCGAGTTCGCAGATGGGGGCCTCGCTTTTGTGGGCGTTGGGTGGCAGCCGCGGTCCATTACGGGACAGCTGCTTGTGGCCACCAGAAGAAAATGTGTGAGCTTGGGCCCCACAGAGGGGCTCGAGCGCCACCGCCTGGAAGTGGCCGGGCACCCAGGCCCACATGGGGAGCAGGAGACCCTCGCCGACGGGCCCAGGGACAGACAGCCGATGGGGACATATCCAAAGAAGAGCTTTAAAGATGCTGCAGTCTTAACAGACGGGCCTCTGTGCCTCGAGTCGGAAGGGACTCCGGAAGGACTTGCCACGTGCTGGGGGACAGCGTGAGGCCCTGGGGGACGTGAGTGCTGGGCCGAGCGGTGCTTTCCGGGCACTTTGAGCAGACATGCAGGAGCTGGAGGCTGGGTGTGCCCCTCGCCCAGGTGACCTGCCCTTGAATGAGCGGCACCAGCACTGCTGTCCAGGACTCCTCTGGGCTCGGCGGGGCTTTGGGGAGGATCGTCTTCACACACAGCTGTGAGGGAAGCGCCGTGTGGGGAGCGGGTTCGGACCATGAGAGCGTGAAGGCAGGAGGACTGTGCCGGGAGCTGGTGGTGAGGGAGCCAGATCTGGGGAAGCTCAGAGGTGCCGAGGTCACACGGCCGTGGACGCTCGAACTGGACGGAATCAGGTCCCCGGGAGAAGGAGGAAATGTGGGGTTAGGGGTCAGCAGGACCGGCTGGTGGCTCCCGAGGAGGCAGGGTCCGTGTGGGGAGCAGGAGTTGACAGCCCTGGACGGCCCTGGTACACAGTCCTCACCAGCGGTCAGGGCTTGCACGGGGCTCCTGTCTGGAGAGTAACGGGTGGGGAGGGGGCTTGGAAGGGGCGGCAGGAGTTGGAGAGGAGGGGTGGGAGGGGCGTGTTGGGCGGGGCTGGTTTCTAGGCCCTTGGCGCAGGCCGTGCCGTGTGCCCCAGGTCGGCAGTGATCCGTTAACTGGGCCCATGTCCGCCGTGCTCGCGGCTGCACCACTGGGCTTAACGCCTGGGGAGAGGGGCCGCCGGCAGGAGGGACAGCAGGTCCTCATGTGGAGGAGGCAGAGTGAGCCCTGCTCTGGGCCCTGCGTTAACCTCTGTGTCTGTTTTCTGTTTGTAGAAAGTCCATGAGATGCTGAAGAAGGGGTGGGATGCTGAAGGCTCTCCCTTCCGAGGCCAGCGATTCGACCCGGCCATGTTCAACATCTCCCCGGGGGCTGTGCAGTTTTAATGCCCGGAGGAAAGGAAGTGCCCGCCGGCCGGGAGGCGGGGTGGCGGCTGTGCCCCCGGCTCCCTCCTGCCAGGGACTCGTTGGCGGGTTTACCCTTGCCATCCTTTCCTTCAAGGGTGAACCCACGGCACCCGGCCCTGCATCTCCAGAGTGCGGGGAGCAGTGTGGGGCGAGCGGGAAGCCGGCCACCCGCTCTCCTCTTGCTGCCGTACACACGCTCTGCTTGCTTTCCTCGTGCTGGGGGCGGGGAGTGGGTGCTGGGCCAGCTGCTGACGTGCAGGGGGGGGCGGGGAAGCCCTAGCCTTGACCTCTCCCTGCCCACGTGCGCGTGTGGTGTCGCTTGGCGTTTGTATGCGTCCTCTGCCTGCTCATCCCCGTCAAGGAGCAGCAGAAAGTGGGGTCCTGGTCGCCGCTTCTGGATGTGGGGACACAGCCCCGAGGGGCCACAGGCGCAGCAGGAACTGGCCTCGACGTGTTCTCGTGGGATCCGGTTCTTGTCAAAGAGCTGACCGGGTGCCCCCAGGAGACCAGAGCGCGGCAGCCCTGCCCCTGCCCTGTTGGGCCGTCAGACGGCAGGTCTCCCGGGACCTCCCCTCGTGACTCTGTCCTCGGGGCGGACAAGGACTCCTTTCTGGGCGATGGTCCTTCCGGAAACTGCCCCCCCTTCACCTGAGTAGGTGGGTGGAAGCTCCTCAGTCGTGTGGGGGCAGGTTTGTGGCTCGCGGAGGCCTGAATACCCAGTCCCTGGAAGCATGGGGTGGCTCTGCTGACATCGAGGGAGGTGCAGACACCAGGTGGCTGGTGGCAGCATTGCTGGGCGGGGGGGCGCGCAGCCCTGTACCCTGTAGTTGGCACTGAGGCTGGTTGTGGAGCTGCTGAGACCCGTCCTCGGGGGCCCCCAGGATGTGCACACCTGTCCCACGTCACCAGCGTCTCGTGTGAGAACTCTCCTCGATGGTCTCGGGCTCCTGGGCTACGCCGTGAGGGTCTTCTGGTGTGATGAGGGGGACTGTGCACCTGCACCCCAGCTACTTGGGAGACCGGGGAGCCGTGGACTCTATGACCGTTGTCTTCCTCTGCCCGACGTCATTTTCAGTGTTGTGTTTCTCCCCTGCCCGGCCTGTCGTGATAGCGGCTCACCAGCGTCTGGGAGTGGTGGGCCGGGGCCAGCTCGCTAGTCCATGCTGCTGATGGCGGGCTGTCCTCACGGGCGTCCTCTGCCCCTCGCTGCCGGCCTGGGCCCTGGAGCTGGTGCAGCCTGCGTGTTTTCTCTCTCTAGACGCGGCCGCTGCAGATTGGCCACTGAGCTCCGTCAGCTGAGGTCCGCGGAGAGCAGGGTGCCCGCCTGCGAAGTCCCTCTCCAGTGTCGGTTTGCAATAAATCTGTATTTAAGCACTTCGGCGTCCGTGTGTGTCATCAGCTGCTGAGACTGTTTTGTATGTGTGCGTGCGTGTGCGTGTGGACGTTTCTGGAACTCCAGCCACGAGGTCCCTGGCTCTCATACAAAGCAAACCCCAGAGAGGGGGATTCCTGTGTCTTTTGAACTATGCGTTTCTCAACCTGTGGTTTTCAGAAGATCAGAGCTTTTGATCAAGAAGAACGATGGATTGTGGCTGCAGAGCCCACATGGATTTCCAGCAGGTCCTGAAAACCCAAGGTGAGCACAGGATCCTGAAGCTTCTGCCAGAGGGCCCCCCCGCGCCCTGTGTAGTGGTGCTGGCCCCGCGGTGCTGGGCTCACGCATCTGCCTGCACCCTCCCGGGCACAGTGGGTCTGCCGTGCCCCCATCCCTGGGGACCGTGCTCAGTGGGCAGGACCTGGTGGTGCTTCCTGAATGAACGGAGGATGCATGGCGGTGTTAGCGCACAAATGTCTGGGACCAGAAACAGCCTGCCAGGGACGAGAGGCCCCATCTTTAACAGTTTGCCCTGAAGCGTGTGGGAGGGCAAACAGTCTCCGTGTTCTGTAGGGAAATGTGGCGGGGAGGCGGCTGCCACCATGCAGACGTGTGTGCCCGGGCCTGCCCACCTGGGGACAGACCCAAGGCCACCCAACCTAGGTCTGCTCCACAGGCGGGGGACGCTCATGTGGACATGGTTGGGCGCCAATAACCTGTCACTTCAGGCTCTGCTGGGTGGGGACCCAGCCGTCTGCTAGAGCCTGGTGGTGGTCTCAGTCGTTGTGATTGTTCTCGACTGGCCTGGCTTCCGGGGTCTGCTTGTGTGCCGGGCCTCAGTGCTGGGCACTGCCTCAGATCTGCTGTGGACGGCCACAGTCCTTGCCCATCGCTTGCCCTGAGGGGTTGGGCTGCTGCCGCCTGCCTGGACAGTATCGGGGGACAGGACCGGGTTCAGGGACCCTGTAGCCGGCGCTGGGAAGAGTCTGGGCCCCCCCACGACCTGGGACGGTCACGCCCCGGCTGTGGACAGCCTGCCCAGCAGCCTGGCGTGGCTGTCCTGGGTAAGTGGTGTCCCGCGGGCTGGCCTGAGACTGTGTTCCCTGGAGAAGGAAACCAGGCTAGGCCTCCTGCATTCTCTGTCCTGCTGCTTCCCGCGCTTTTTTGCCAGGGTTGGATGGACCTTTGGGGATGTTTTGACCCAAACACTGTGTGAGGGCCACAGAGGAAGTGATGCCCCTGAGGCTTGAGCTGGACCCTGTTCCTGCCCCAGTGAGGCTCCCCTGCCTCTGCCATCCGCGTGGCACAGGCCTGGCACTGGCGAATGCTCTGCAGATGGGGGGGTAGGACCCCGGCGTCGTTTGCCAACTGAACCCAAACAGCCCAGGCGCTCCTCCCCAAGGAGGGGCCCAGTGTGGGTATAGAGATGGAGCGGCTGGAGGCTTGGGGGAGGTCCCTCCCGCAGGGCAGGTGCGCCCACCCCTTGCAGGGCACCTGCCCAGGTGGTAACCTTCCAAAGACTGGGGTCAGGACCATCCCGTGGCTGGCTGAGTGTCTCCCGGGGGCTGCGGCAGGGGAGTGAGCAGCCCTCCAACGTGTGCTTGGCCCGCAGGGGTTTTGGGTTTGCAGGAGCCTGGACGTGGGATGGGGAAGGTGCCGCAGCCCCCCAACCACCTGTCAGCTGTCAGGGCTGAGCAGGCCACGGAGGGGCCACGGGAAGCTGGGGCCGAGACATGGAGGAGAGAACCATTCTGAGCCCCTCTGTGAAAGCAGCCACAGGGCCCGGGGAGAGGTCCCACATGCTGCCACACAGCTCCGTGGGCTACTCCCTCGCCCAGACCGGGTGCTCCAGACCCCTCCCCGCTTAAACCCCCAGGTGCTTGGGCGTCTGGACCCTGTGTCCAGACCACCCTCCTGCTAAGATGTCGGATGTAGGGTTTGGGTGCACACCGCTGGAGACCACCTCTGGTGGGGAAAGTGGCGGGGCTCACCTCCCACCTCCTGGGGACCCTGACTCCGCTCTCTGAGCAGCGGCTGCTGTGAAGTCTCCTTTGGGGCGCCGGCACCCTCGGGGACACCTGGCTGGCTCAGGACTGCCCCCACGGGCCAGGTGTGTCAACCCCCTCAGTCAAGGAGAGGCAGGCAGTGTTTGTGGAGCACCGGACGCATCATCAGAGGTCACGAAGGGCATCCTGGGTACGCCCTCGGCCTCAGCGGGGATTGTCAACACCCCTGATGCCAGTCACAGACAGTGCGCACCCCCGGTTTACAGCTGAGGTAAGCGGCCCAGTCACCAGAACCCCAGGTGACCTGGGCTAGTGATGGGATTGGGGGTGGGTTCAGCAGGCCACGCAGAGCCCCCAGTGCCCTGTGCACCCCAGTGCCCTGTCCACACCCAGAACCTGGGTGTGAGGGATGGCAGGTCCTGCAGAGGCACCTGTCGACCCCTCTGGGGGTGCTGTGACCCCGCAGACCTCCACACCGGAGAGCTGGGCATCCCTGAGGGGCTCCTGACCTCACCCCGAGCCAGAGGGCACCATGGAGGTGTGGAGAGGGCCTTCTGCTCCTCCGTGTCCTTGGCTGCAGGATGGTCCCACACAGCGGCCTCAGGAGCCAGACCCTGCAGACCCCTGGCCCCCACCCTCCTCAGCCGTGTCTTCCTGACCCAGCCACCAGAGTCTCTCTCAGCTGTCACCACCAGCCCTCCTTCAGTGACCGTCCCCCTCCCCACTTCTCAGGCCTCCCTTCCTCCCCCATCTCAAGGCAGGAGGTGACCTGGGGGCCTCAGCTGCAGGAGGCCCACACCCTTTAAGAGACTGACACGGGGCACGAAGTGACGTTCAGGTGCATCGAGCACATTCCCATGGTGCAGCCGCCGCCACCGTCCGTCTCTAGAACCGTCACATCTCCGCAGAGCGCGACTCCATGTCCATTAAAGTATCTTTTCGTTTGTTGCTGGTGTTGAAAATGAGATTTTACCGAAGTTCCGATTTCTGGGCTCTCTTGTAAACTGGGGAACCAGCCAGCGCTGGGGGCTGTGGGGTGGAGGGTCCGGCCGGCTGTGGCTGTGATGGGGGCAGAGCTGACCCCCACGGCCCCACCACGCCACCTGCTCACCATGGGCTCTCCCCTATGACCCGCCCACGCGGGGCCGAGCCAGGAGCCCTGGCGGAGGGATGGCCCAGGCGGGGTCCAAGGGCAGCAATGTGCTTGGGGCACGGGGGCCAGAGGGAGGGGCCTCGCATGCCGAGGGCGGACAGGGCTCTGCTCCGGGATTTAGGTCCTGGGCAGAGGGAGGGGCTGGGCCAGACATTGGTGGCGGGTCCCACTCTGCAGCCACAGAGGCTGGAGCTCCGTTTCAGGTGCTGTGGGTCCTAGCCGGCCACCCAGGACGGGTGAGGGGCCACCCAGAGTGAAGAGTTGGCTGGGCCCTGCATCTCGGCCCCCACGACAGGGCTGCAGGGGGCGGTGGGAGAGGTCTACACCCCCTGCGCAGAACGTGGATTGTGTCCCCTTATGTGGTCACGGACCGCAGACCACGGGTCCTCACTGGCGGCCTCTTAGGGGCCGGAGGCTCAGGGTCAGAGCAAGGGACGTGGCCACAGAACGGGTGGTCGGGCAATGTGCCCCGAGGGTGGAGCAGGCAGCGGAGTGCCCCCCACCTTGATGTCAGACTTCCCACCCCCAGAACTAAGGATAAATGTGTGTGAAGTCCCTGAGCCTGTCGGTTACAGCACCCCCAGAAACTCCTCCGGGGCTGGGCTGTGGCTTTGGGGGCATGAGGGTCATGTCGTGGAGGGATTGCCCCCCACGGCGGTGGCTTCTGCCCTGGACCCCGTCTTGCCCAGTCCCAGGCCGGTGCGGC